GATTTCAGAGAGGAAGGGAGAGGGTGAGAGAGAGGGAGAAACCTTCCATTGATGAGGATTCACTAATTGGATGCCTCCTGCACACCCCCTTCTGGGGATCGAGCCCCCCAACTCGGTCATGTGCCCTGACCAGGAATCAAACTATGACCTCCTGGTTCATGGATCGACGCTCAACCACTGAGCCACACCGGCCAGGCCCAACAGGATATTTTTTAGAGTAAAAGTAAATATCATGTAAGGATAACAGGCAAAACTGGAACTGCCCTGGGAAAACCACATTTATATTAAACCGTCTCGTAAGTAACGATTAAATTGAGTGATGTTCTCACCACAGGGCAAAAAAATGATTGTTCACGTAGACATGCATTGTTCAGTGATCAAAAAGGGTAAGTTCATGCTTTTGATCATTCCCCTTAATCAAATTTGAAACAGGGGACCATGTGACTGTTTCCATTTCTAAATTGGTGAGTGTCTTGGCTTCTTTGTCTTATTTTAAAGAAAAATGAGCCTGACCGGTGTGGCTCAGTGCTTGAGCATAAACCTGTGAACCAGGAGGTCATGGTTTGATTCCCAGTCCAGGCACATGCCAGATTGCAGCTCAGTCCCCAGTGTGGGGCATTCAGGAGGCAGCCAATCGATTCTCTCTCATCATTGATGTTTCTATCTCTCCCTCTCTGAAATCAATAAAAAATATATTTAAAAAAAAAGAAATAAATGAAACCACACCATCTGTTCTGAGCATGTATTCCTACTCTGTCTGTCTCTCGCGTTTGCTGCTCTGCATAGACCTCTGCCTGGGAGGCATGTTCTGCCCCCTCTGATTCTGTCTTGTCTGTTCATTGGCTCCAGTCTTCTTGTATTGAGTTCAGTTGTGTTTTTAAATATATATTTATTGATTTTAGATTGGATGGGAAAGGGAGAAATAGAAACATCGATGATGAGGAGGATTATTGACTGGCTGCCTCCTGCACGCCCCCTACTGGGGATCGAGCCCACATCCTGGGCATGTGCCCTGACCCAGAATTCAACCGTGATCCTCTGGTCCATAGATTGATGCTCAACCACTGAGCCACATGAGCCGGGCAAGAATACTTCTTATTAAAGGAGCAAAACCTATGACGTGGAAGTGAATCGTTCTAGCTCATACTCCATCTGGAACCTTTTTGATGTTTTTGTAGCAGCAAATGGTTCTGTTCAACCGCTCACTCCCTCTCAGAGATGTTTTTCCCCTCGGGGAAGATCAGCTCCAGACTGTCTCAGGAGAGCTCTGGCTTCCTTCACGCTGCCAGCGTTAACTGGAGTGTTCGCCGTACAAGTGCATAATCCTTGTCATGACTCATGCTGGGAAATGTAATTATTGTTTTGTTCTCGGTGTCAACCGTTTCCCCAGACATATGTGCATATTCTCCTCTGCTGATGGGAGAGATCATTCTGTTTTTTTAAAGAACTATTCATTTCCAGAGTGAGTCTTATTTTTGTTCTCAAAGAAAGCCGCTTCTTACCAGATAGCTATTAGAGCAAATCATCCTTTAGTAACGTAAAAATCTGCTGTGGGATGTTAGATGTGTGTTGATGCTACAACACTGCTTGCTAATTGAAATGATTTGAGTTATAATGGGAGCTGTGAATGGCGTTATTTACTTGGTTGTTTAAAGAATGCCAAGATTGCCCGACCATAGCTCAGTGGTTGAGTGTCAACCTATGAACCAGGAGGTCACAGTTCGATTCCCTGTGCTTGGGTTGTGGACTCGATCCCCAGTGTGGGACGTGCAGGAGGCAGCCGATCAGTGATCCTCTCTCATCATTGATGTTTCTATCTCCCTCTCTCTTCCTCTCTAAAATCAACAGAAATATATTTTTTAAAAAAAGAATGCCAAGATCTACAGGAGAAGAAAAGGGAGAGGATAATGATACAAATTGGAAAAAATGTCATTCAATTACATGTCTGTGTCTCAAGGATAGGAGAGCCCTCATAGTGAAGAATGGACTCCTGGGAGGTGGTATTCAGGAAGGGCATGGGCAGATGGTCCTCAGGCTTCAAGCTCAAGTTCAGTATTACGAGCCACATTAGCTAGTTTAGCCCGTTACCAAAGCCCTCTCTAACGAATCAGCTCCAAAAACGTGGAGAATCCGTGGCCAAACCTGTCACTTCTTCAAGTCATCAGATGTGTTCCCATCGCCACACATTTTCCTTATTCCTCATCCCAAGTAGCATCACCCGAAACCAGGGCCCACAATGATAGGCGTCCCAGTGCTGTAGCCAGGATGTCACGTCCAAGGGCTCTTTGGAAAGAGCGCGTCTGAGTCTCAGCGTGCCGCGCTTCTGCTGGAATCGGACTTCCTGTGCTCTGTGTACCACGTTCAGCGAGGAAGGGTCCTTGCTCACGTGAAGGACTAGAGGTGGATGCTGATAATGTACCTACCTACCTTCATTCATTCATTCATTCATTCATTCATTTATTTTTGGTTAATCCTCACAGGAGGATATTTTTTCCCATTGATTTTTAGAGACAGTGGAAGGGAGGGTAGAGAGACAGCAACATCAATGTGAGAGAGAGACATCGATTGGTTGCCTCCTGCATGCTCCCTGACCAGGGCTGGGGATGGAGCCTGTAACCGAGATACATGCCCTTGACTGGAATCAAACCCGTGAGCCTTCAGTCCAAGGGTTGGTGCTCTAACCACTGATATAACCAGCCAGGATGGTGATGTACCTTTAAATGCCAAGAGCATGGGTCCAGGTTACCTTCAAGTTGAGTCTCTGATAACATTAAAAAGTGTTAGGGAAATTTAGGAAGATCAAGCTACTTTTCATATGAATATTTTCAATAAGCTTGTCTCCATAATAATAATTTGAAACAAAATACCTTGTTATCAATCCATTTATGTTTTGTACGTCAACTGGAAACATTTAAACTCCAGCACAAAGGAGCTCTCATAACACCCCAACAACAAAGAGCCTTTCTTTCCCACGTTCACACGATCTTCGGAAGGAAAAATTGCATTTGCGTTGTTTTGACTCAGCCTTACCGATGTGTCTTATTTTTCCTTCGAGTAAACGTGTTCGAAACTTGAAACGCCTTTGGATATCACTAATTAACTTTAATAAACAGGTTAATCTGTTACATATTTCACGATTTTAGTTGAATAGGCTGATGGTCCATTGGCAGCAAAACTAACAAAAAAATGGTAGTCAGTAAGGCTATGTTCATCAGTGGTGATACCACCGCAGACATTCCCAGCGCATCCCGTCGCCAGGTCCTGTTGAGCACAGCCGGTGTTGAATAAAAGCATGCCCCTGGGCCTCCGTACTACACACTGCTAAAGACATTTATACGAACAATCCATTCTTTTGGTTCAATTTCATGACACGTCAGCAGAGTAAAAGGCAGGTATTTGCCGGCCTGACTGTTGAGCAACTCTCCACACTTGTACTTTTTTTCCCCCAGAACTTTTATAAGACGGAACTGAACAAGGAAGAGATGTACATCCGCTACATCCACAAACTCTACGACCTGCACCTCAAGGCACAGAACTTCACAGGTAATTCTGTCTTGGGCTCCGGCCGGGGAGGGTGGACCCTGGTGTGTGAGACACGGTAAGTCCTCTCCTTTTTGGAATTAGGGCTCAAGCATTTCTGCTTTAAAATTGAAATTTATTTCTTATGTAATTGATTGTCTTTTGTTCTCTGTGTTCCAGCCTCCATATCAGATAAAGAACCACCTATTTTTTAATAATGGAAATTTATTTTAAGCTAGAGGCCCAGTGCATGAAATTCGTGCAGGGGGGGGGGTGGTCCCTCAGCCCAGCCTGCACCCTCTCAAATCTGGGACCCCTCAGGGGATGTCCAACTACCGGTTTAGGCCTGATCCCCATCTCGCAATCTGGGACTGCTGGCTCCTAACCACTCACCTGCCTGCCTGCCTGATTGCCCCTAACCCCTCTGCCTGCCAGCCTGATTGCCCCTACCTTGCTCCCCTGCCGGCCTGTTCGCCCCTAACTTGCTCCCCTGCTGGCCTGATCACCCCTAACTACCTGTGCCTTGGCCCCCAGCCTAAGCCGCAGTCTGGCCTCCCTCTGCGGGAGGCGACCGGGCTGATCAGGGGAAGGCGCCGCCCCCATCACCCTGCTGCTGCTGCCACTGCTGGCCGCAGCAGCTGTAAGGCCTGAGCCCAGGGTCTCGCAGCCGCTGCAGCCACCGTGGCTTTGTCCAGATGGACGTCCGGAAGACATCCGCCCTAGTTAGCATATTACCCTTTAATGGTATAGATTGGATTTATTTATTTATTTATTTATTTTTTAAAATATATTTTATTGATTTTTTACAGAGAGGAAGGGAGAGGGATAGAGAGCTAGAAACATCGATGAGAGAGAAACATCGATCAGCTGCCTCCTGCACACCCCCCACCGGGGATGTGCCCGCAACCCAGGTACATGCCCTTGACCGGAATCGAATCTGGGACCCTTCAGTCCGCAGGCCGATGCTCCATCCACTGAGCCAAACCGGTTTCGGCTAGATTGGATTTATTTATGTATTTTGGGTATTTCATTTTAATTTGTATGCTGGCTTTTTAACTATATTTCTTAGCATCTTTTTTTCGAGGTTGTTTTGGGTGTTACAAAATGTATCCCTAACTTTTCAGTCTACTCAGAGTTAGTATTTTATCACCTAAAGTTAAATGTGGAAAGTTTACAGCCGTAGAGGTCCCTTTGTCTTCCCCACTTTATGTGGTAGCTGTCATATGTATTCCATCTACATACAATGATGGCCCCACAGACATGCTGAGAATTTTGGTTTCTGAGCAGATCATATTGCCTGAGAGTTTAAATGGTCATTTTTAAGTAGCTGGTAGCCAGATTTTGAGAGAAATGCTCAACCTAGTTTCTATATCTGTGGGAAAAAAACCCGGTAGGCTTGTTGTACTTAAAGTCCATAAAAAAAGAAGCGAGAGAAGCAACGGAGGACGGTTCCTGCAGATATATAGCAGCTCTATTCTGGTTCTCTAAAGAAAGTCCAAATCTGGCTGGGTATATTTTGGAGATGGAAAAACTCTTTAATTTGTTTGTAGTTTTTATGTTCCCCAAAGTCTTAAGAAATGAGTCCTTTTCCCTATAACATTTTCTTTTTTTTCTTTTCTTTTCTATTTCCCCTATAACATTTTACCCATCTCCCTTCTGTCTTTGTTCCTGTGAGTTCCTGGAGAAAGTGAAATGGATGGAGAACTTCTCTGTAGGGTTCTGTGAATGAATGAATGAATGAATGAATGAATGAATACAGGGAACCAAACAATTACATGCAAATCTCTGATGATTCCATCTTTGAGAAAGTCAGCATTCACTAACCTGCCATTCTTACATTCTGGGCACTTTTCTGGAATACCATGAAATTCAGAAAGTAGTGTTGTCCCCTCTTTGTCACAAACTGGCCCCCCTTGAGGGGCGGCTGCAGGGCCCATCTGGACTTTGCTCCCCGCTGCCTTGCAGAGGCCGCCTACACCCTCCTGCTGTACGACGAGCTGCTGGAGTGGTCGGACCGGCCGCTGCGCGAGTTCCTGAGCTACCCGGCGCAGACCGAGTGGCAGCGCAAAGGAGCACCTGCACCTGGCCATCATCCAGAACTTCGACAGGGGCAAGGTGAGTGGCGCTGGGCAACTGCGCTGGCGCCTCGGTCCCTTCATTCCGGCTCATGGATGCCACCTCCTCCGGTGGGGGTGCATTGCCATTTCATGCTTCCTAAAGACTTTTAATAACGGACATGTTAGTTACATGCTGTCTCCGTGCTTAAAGCCCCAGTGATCCTCCTAACAGCAGGAAAGACTTTTTAACAAAATGCCTTTTTATTGATTTCAGAGAGGAAGGGAGAGGGAGAGAGAGAGAAACATCAGTGATGAGAGAGAATCATCAGCTGCCTCCTGTACACCCCACACTGGGGATGGAGCCCGCAACTGGGGCGTGTGCCCTGATCAGGATTCGAACCGTGACCTCCTGGTCATAGGTCGATGCTCAACCACTGAGCCACGCCAGCCAGGCATAACTTTTTTTAAAAAATATATATTTTATCGATTTTTCACAGAGAGGAAGGGAGAGGGATAGAGAGTTAGAAATATCGATGAGAGAGAAGCATCGATCAGCTGCCTCCTGCACATCTCCTACTGGGGATGTGCCTGTAACCAAGGTACATGCCCTTGACCGGAATTGAACCTGGGACCCTTCAGTCCGCAGGCTGACGCTGTATCCACTGAGCCAGACCAGTTAGGGCCAGGCAGGACTTTTAATAGTTTACATGTTAATTACATGCTATCTCTGTGCTTAAAGCTGCAGTGATCCTGTTAACGGCAGGTCATAGGGATGAAGTGAGGCTCGGTGATGGAAGGCGGTCCCCGCCGACCTGGGGGTGGAAGGAAGCAAGTGTGGGCGATCACTAACTGTGCCCGTTGGCCCGCAGTGCTGGGAGAACGGCATCGTCCTGTGCCGGAAGATCGCAGAGCAGTACGAGAGCTACTATGACTACCGGAACCTGAGCAAAATGCGGGTAAGGCAGGGCGCGGGCCGCGTGCTGAGCACACGTGGCGTCCTCTGCTGTGAGCTTCCCCATCTGACATTGTGTCTGGCCCCTCGACATGCCTCCGGGGAGGACTGAGGACAGGCTTTCCTCGGCTGCCCAGCTCTCGTGCAGAGAAACCGCTCATTGCTCTGTGGTGCTTTGAGGAGGACACAACAGTGAGCCCTGGACGAGGCCAGCGATCGACAGACTTCCTCATCTCAGGCCACACCAGAAAGTACATTTTTTGCCGATCTGACCCAAAACAACAGTGTGATTTTGATTCATTCACACCAGACGGCTGTTGTGTTGACTGTTGTCGTTTTCGCATTGGACAGTCAGAGGGAAAGCGGTCAGTGGCCTTGACTACCGAGGCAGGTGTTGCGGGGTTCACAGTTCTTGCGGCACTTGGGTGGAAAACCGCTGATCTAGGCCAACCCCCAATCCGAACACACAATCTGAGCCGGGAGTAATACTTCCCTGAGGAAACCCCAACTGGGAAGGGCTTCCCACGTGGACACAAGTCTCTGTAGCGATATATCCTCCTTAGTCCCATAGTCCATGAAGCAAAATAGTAGGAATGGCTAACTGACCCATTTTTTAAATATTTTGGGGCTAAAGTCTACCGTTGTTACTTCTCCTTAGCTTCAGAGATGAGTTTGTATTTGCTAAACCTAAACCAGGGTCCACCCAAGAACTAGGGGTTTGGTGTTCTCTGTGTTCACAAAGGTTTTACTCTCCCTTCCCTCTGACTCAGCCAGGCACCTCCCCCTCCGCCCCGGGCCCTCCGCGTCCTTAAGTCCCTCTGGTCTCTAAAATGGGATCATCAGCTTCTACATTTAAAAAAAGAGGGGATGATGTTGCCTTTTAATTTTGAGGCAGCAGTTGAAGCGATGGTGTCGTTAACCTTTAACAGCTCATGTCTACCCCCTACTTCCCCCCCCACACACACACCAAGAGGTCCTTCAGCTGGCAGGAGTTGGCCGTTGGCTGCGTGGTGTTTCATGTCCGCGGGTCATGGATAATTCTCCTAACGAGAAAACACCTGACTGGGAATCGAACCACGACCTCCTGGTTCAAGGGTTGACACTCAACCACTGAGCCACGCCTCCTCTGCTTTGGTTGGTCAGTTTATCCCCATCCAACCTGAGCAAGTGTGTACCTCCCAGATGTCCTGAGTTCCGTGTTTGAGGAGAAGCATCGATCAGCTGCCTCCTGCACACCCCCTACTGGGGATGTGCCTGCAACCAAGGTACATGCCCTTGACCGGAATCGAACCTGGGACCCTTCAGTCCGCAGGCTGACGCTCTATCCACTGAGCCAGACCAGTTAGGTCTGTGTTAGGTCTGAGTACACCTGGCACGAAAATTCCCCAGAAAGGTTGCTTCTCACAGTTCATGCTCATTTTTACTTCACTGGGAGGAAAGCATTTCCCCGATGGACTGTGCGCATAGACACCATCTTCTCCGGCGAGATCATGTCCTAACACACCCAGGCTTTAAGCAGGTCAGCGAGCAGCCCGAGAACGAAAGGAAGCGCTCCTGTGGCAGAGGACACGTCCTGTGCTGTGAGGTGGAGGAGCTGGAAGAGGGGAGGACTGACCGGATGTCTCCTTGCTTCCCCAGATGATGGAGGCCTCTCTGTACGACAAGATTATGGACCAGCAGCGCCTGGAACCAGAGTTCTTCAGGGTTGGATTTTATGGGAAAAAATTTCCATTTTTCTTAAGAGTGAGTCGTGGACTATTTAGTTCGCTTTCATACTTCTAATATATAGGGTGTCCCCCCAAAATATACATACACTTGGCATAATTATAAAGGCAGTGTTTATTAAAATACATTTCATTGTTAAAATTGAGTTATCAGCTGTTAAAGTGTGTCTGCATTTTGTGGGGGGACACCCGGTAGATACCGCGACCCTCAGAGCTGAGCTGTGACTGGCCCTGTTCCCTTTTCAGACAAGTGAGCACATCAGGAGACTTCTTTTCACTTTTTAAAAAAAATATATATTTTATTGATTTTTCACAGAGAGGAAGTGAGAGGGATAGAGAGTTAGAAACATCGATGAGTGAGAAACATCGATCAGCTGCCTCCTGCACACCCCCTACTAGGGATGTGCCCGCAACCAAGGTACATGCCCTTGACCGGAATCGAACCTGGGACCCTTCAGTCTGCAGGTCGATGCTCTATCCACTGAACCACACCGGTTAGGGCCTTTTCACATTTTTTTAAATTTATTTTTTATTTCCTATTTATTTCTTTTTATTGTCTAAAGTTTTGCATATGTCTCCTTTTTCCTCAGTTGACACACCCCCACACACACTTCTTTTCACTTTTTACTTTGCAAACCCCATCCTCAGGTAGAATGCCTGGTTTTGAATACTTCCCCAAGATACCAACCAATCTTGTGGTTTCTGCGTCCTGAGTTTCGAAGTTTGCTGGATGGATGAGCCACCTTTGGTCATTAGGGTTGTTTCCCTTGGGGGACTGGTTCTTACTCTTCAATTCAGCGGGCCACCCTCAGCGTTGGCGTTAGAGAGAGTGCAGGCCTGGCAGGGGTCCAGGTCCCACGCTGCAGACAGTGCTGCCATTTCGCCTTTTTCACCCAGCTCCCAGTCTCTGCGCCCCCTCCCTCCCCAACTGTTTGTCTGTTCTCATATCTGGGAATCCATTCTTGTGTTGTTTGTTAGTTGTTTTTTTAAATATATTTTTATTTATTTCAGAGAGGAAGGGAGAGGGAGAGAGAGAAACATCAATGAGGAGAGAGAATCACTGATCGGCTGCCTCCTGCACAACCCACGCTGGAGATCGAGCCTGCAGCCCAGGCATGTGCTTGACGGGGAATTGAACTGTGATCTCCAGGTTCATAGGTCGACGCTCAACCACTGAGCCAGGCTGGCCGGGCTGTTCGTTTATTTTGTTCGTCCTTTATTCTGCCTGCAGAACAAGGAGTTTGTGTGCAGAGGGCACGACTACGAGCGGCTGGAGGCGTTCCAGCAGCGGATGCTGACCGAGTTCCCGCACGCCATTGCCATGCAGCACGCCAACCAGCCCGACGAGACCATCTTCCAGGCGGAGGCGCAGTGTATCCACCGGGCGGGGCCGCTGCCCCACGAGAGCCATGTGGCGGGCGGGCGGGCGGCGTCAGCGCACTCCCCTACCGGGCTGCGCGGCGCGGGACCCTGTTCGGTTGCCGTGTTCTTCGTCTCCCTCGTTCTCGGCATCTTATTTTAGCTCAGCTCCTTCTGAGCAGAATTGTTCTGTTTATTATCATGATGTCAGGGGAAATTTCCCTTTTAAAAAATATGTTTTTACTGATTTCAGAGAGAGGAAAGAAGAGGGAGAGAGAGATAGAAGCATCAATGATGAAAGAGAATCATCTATTGGCTGCCTCCTGCACACCCCTTACTGGGGATGAAGCCACAACGTGGGCATGTACCCTGATCAGAAATAGACTGTGACCTCCTGGTTCATAGGTTGACAACCACTGAGCCACACTGACCACGCTAATTTTTTTCCTTTTAATTAAAACTTATCCCTGATTTAAAGCTCTTTTTAGTGAGTTCCCCTAGAATAATTTTCCCCTGACCTATCCTACGGAAGTGACTTCAGTTCATGAAAATAATAGCCTTATGTTCACTGGAACATACCATTCACTGCCTTTGCCCTTGGTATTTTTATTCCCACTCACCCACTCCAAAAAAAAAAAAAAATCAGTGGTACATCCATGGACCCTAAAAATTTTAAATGGATACTTTTCCCACAACCACTGACCTAGAACTCATCTAAGATGTATTGTTGGGAATGAGTGTTAGGAACTGAGTTCTGGGCGCGTCCTTGGAGATGTTAGTTTCCTTCCAGCCAAAGGGGAGCGAATAGCAGATAGTTACCCACCCCTTCTCCCCGCCACAGCTCAGCGGGAGCCAGGCTTGTGTGGCGCCTGCTGAGCGAGCAGGGTTTCCTCCTTGACGCTGTGCCCCAGATCTGCAGATCTACGCCGTGACCCCCATCCCCGAGAGCCAGGAGGTGCTGCAGAGAGACGGTGTCCCCGACAACATCAAAAGCTTCTACAAAGTGAACCGCATCTGGAAGTTCCGCTACGACAGGCCGTTCCACAAAGGCCCCAAGGACAAGGAGAACGAGTTCAAGGTGCGCGCGGGCTCCTGGGCTCCTCAGAGAAACCTCCTCAGTTCTTGCTGCTGTTGAATGCCTGGCGCTAGTTCAGGAATCTCCCAAAGTGTATTCTCCTCTTGGGAATAAACTTGGTTTCAATAAGAAAAGTGAGCCATAGGCACAGAACCCTGGTTGACAGCGTCAGCTCTTACCAAAGGCAGCCGTGGTTTCATGTGGCCTGGGTGCTGGTCCTGGCTGGAGGGGGCTGGGCTCTGAAATCCTATGTTCACGTGGACATGGGAAGGTGGGCGGGGCTGCGGAGCAGTCGGAGGTTCTGGTGGGAGGGCTCAGGGCTGGCTCGGCAGGTAATTAGAAGGCATCGTTGAGCAGGTCCCGTTGCTCTTGGATCTTAGCATCTTCATCTTTAAAATAGAAAGGCCCTTTCCTGCAGGAGGTTATGCAGCCATGTGCGGAGAGCTGGTACGCGACCCCTGATAGAAGTGAATGGCAAACATGAACCACAGCTCAGTAGCCAGGAAGAGGGGCAACATGGGGGTTAACCTGTCCTGTGTTCCAGAGTCTCTGGGTGGAGAGGACGTCGCTGTTCCTGGTGCAGAGCTTGCCGGGCATCTCCCGCTGGTTCGAGGTGGACAAGCGCGAGGTGGTAAGGACCAGACTTGTTCGGGGCACTTTCCTCTCAGTGCTGCTCACCCGGGACCCTGCCAGGGTGAGGCGCTCCTGCCTTTGACTGGAAGTCCTCAGGGCAGTGAGTGGGTGTGTATGAGACTGACCACTGTGACCAGGGCTCCAGGAGGGCGCTCTTGTTGTCCTCGTCCAGGGAGCCAGAGGGGTCCTCAGCGGTCCCCAGGCCTCAGCACACAGGACTGGCCCTGCAGTCAGAGGAACTGGACTCCACTCTCTAGTTACTGTAGCTGCACGGCCTTCACGATCTGATCCCTGGGGGCCGGGCCAGGAAGGTCATCACAGTGTCTTACTCAGTCCCCAGGGCCACGCCATGAGCTACGCACTCTTGTCCCTCTTCTCACCAGCTTGGAAAGCTTTTGCAGGAGGCCCTGTGACAAGATGTTGAGGGTAGACTTGAACACGGTGTTCTGACGCCAAAGCCAGTGATGGCATCTCTTTGAGCCTCAGTCTCCTAGGCAGCGGGCGGCCCACGCGGAGGTACCTCAGTGTTGGCCGCACAGAGTCCACGCGGGTGGAGGCATAGTGGCAGGGTGCTGGCATGGGAGTCTCACCCAGCAGCCCGGGAGGAGAGCCAGCCAGGGAGCTGTGGGTGTTGTTAGAGCCTAGCACCCAGCACCCACGAGCTCTCGGGGTGTAAGTCGTGCCCCCAGCTCTGGTCCCCAGGGTGGGACAGGGAGAGCAGTTGCTGATGGCGGTCACATCCTGTGAGACCCCGGCCTGCTGCCCCAGCTGCTCTGCAAGCCCCCGGCACCTGGGTGTCAGCCATAGCCCTGCGATCCCAGCATCCTTCTCCACGCACGCCCCCCCCCACCACCCCATTCACATTGGGGCGCGGCCAGCCCTGCCTGCCTCCCTCCTCCAGCAATAGGAGATGGGCTGGTAGTGAGCATAGCCTTCCGCCTCTTGCTTATTTTGTGAACAAGCCTGCTCTGCTTGGTGGGTCAGCAAGAGCAGCCTGCCCACACTGTCCCTGAGAATGGCTCGCCCTCCTGAAGTCTCCGAGTTGACCCACACACAGTTCATCACGTACCGTTAAGCTGGGGAGTTAATGGCATTTCATTCTGCAGAGTCAGAGAATGCAGGCAGCTCCCTACAAGCCCAGAGCAGTGTGGTCTTGAAGGGTGAGGCCAAGGTCCCCAAGCGGGTGCTGACGCAGCGCACCCGGTGCTTTCCGTGGACGAGGAGAGGCTGCCCGCACAGAGCTCTGCAAGTCTCATTGTTGTGCTTCCTTCCAAATGGCATGGCCCCAGCCCACGGAAATGCTCCCAGCTACCCACCGCCCTGGTGACTCGGCGAGCCTCCTCTCCTCCCTGCCAGAGTGCTCAGTTCTGGGCATCTCGCCCGTAGTACTCACCCTGAATATATCACACACGTGCACATGCACACACACACACACACACACACAGGCGCACACACGCGCACACCACATACACATGTGCACATACATGGACATGGCACCCACACGAGCACACATACACACAGTACATGCATGTGCACCCATGGGTGCACACACACGCTCACGTGTGTGCATGTACACCTCTGATAAAAAGGAGCATGCTTAGATGATGATGAGAAGAGCATTACTAAACACACGCCTTTCAAGCAGCTGCCCACGGTATTGGAACAGGCAGCCTTCTATTCTCTCCAACAGAACCAATCTCTCTGGGCCGCTTTGTTCCCTGAACACAGCCCACTCCTAACACCTGTCTGTCTCCTTCCCGCCGCCTGGCAGGCCCCCACTTTGCATTCATGTTACTGTTTCCTGCTTTCACTCCTGCTATAGAGGGTCCTCAAGACCAGGCACACATGGTAGGCCCTCAATACATACAAGCCAAGCTGAGCTGAAACCCCTCATTACCTCGCCAAAATCTAAAAGATTCTGAAAACCGAAAGGTGTTTCCAAAAGTTGGGCTCCAAAATGATAAACCTAACCTGATGGCATGTAAGCCCATTATGCTCTTTATCGCACTTAGTGTAAGTATCCAAACCGGGAAGAACTTTTATGCGTTTATTTGAGTCAAATTCATAACGGCGGGAAGCAAAAGCTCAATGGATTGAGGAAATGCTCCAGAGAATGCAGTTTTACCACCTACTTTATACATCAGGATAGCAGGGGAAGATGTAAGGAGGTTAACATGCTGCCTGGCCTGTGTGGCTCCGTGGTTGAGCATCGACCCATGAACCAGGAGGTCACAGTTCGATTCCCATTTGGGTCACATGCCCAGTCGGAGGCGTGTGGGAGACTTGCCAATCGATGATTCTCTCTCATCATGGATATTTCTATATATCTCTCCCTCTTCTTCTCTGAAGTCAATAAAAATATATTTTTTAAAAGGAAGTTACATGAAATCCACTGGTGATAGAGAGGTGGGAGAAAGCAAAATGGGGAAACCTCCGAGCTGGGATAAAAGTAAAGGAATAGACACACACTTCTTTTACTCAGGTGGGTGCAGGATAGTTAACAGTCAACAATTAACTCAACAATGAGGGGATCTGTGGTTTGGCTCTGTGGGGAGATTGTGCCCTGAGGGTTTGAAAAGGGGTTACTCAGGTATTCCAGAGGTATGTTCTCTTACCTTTGCTGCTTTTCTGGGTCTGGAGCTGAAACAGGCCTAGATATTATCTCTAGGGAGGTGACCTTCTGTTTCTGCTGTCAGTTGTCTGGCCAGTTTGTTTAGCCATCAGTTTCCCTATACCAGTGGTCGGCAAACTGCAGCTCTCGAGCCGCATGCGGCTCTTTGGCCCCTTGAGTGTGGCTCTTCCACAAAATACCACATGCGGGCATGCACGTACAGTGCGATTGAAACTTCGTGGTCCATGTGCAGAAGTTGGTATTTTGTGGAAGAGGCACATTCAAGGGGCCAAAGAGCCACATGTGGTTCACGAACCGCAGTTTGCCGACCAGTGGCCTATACCACTTGGGGGAGCTTAATGACCTGTCTCACCATTACCCTCCCTTTTATGGTATCCATTCCCTTGCCTAGTGCATCCTATATAAACCAGTCAATTTAGTTTTGCCTGGTTTTGAACTTTATATAACAGCGTCGTACTGTATATATCACATTGTAACTTGCTTCTGTGGTTTGGTGTTTTTGTCTGTAGTGTTTGTCCATATTATTACATGTGACTGAAGTTAGTTTTCATTGCTGTGTATTATTCCATTGTATGATCATACCACACTATACTTGTGCATTTTATTATCAAATGGACACATGAATTTGGGAGACAATTATGAGCATTTTGGCATGTTTCCTTGTGCACATGGCAGGGTCATAAAATATAATAAATATATCGCTGACTTTAGTATGAAATGCCAGGCTGTTTTCCAAGGTAACCAAACCAATTAGAACTTCCAAGAGCAGGAACTGAGAGACTGTTGGTCACATTCTCATGTCCACTTGCTGTCGTCATGTTAATTTTGCTATTTTGGCTGGTGGTGAGTAGTAGATCACTATAGTATTACTTTTTACTTCTTTGATCACAATTGAGAGTCAACATATTTTCATATGTTTACTGGCCATTTGGATTTTCCCTTTGTTGAGCGGTTGTTTCAGTCTTTGGCTCATTTTTATTGGGTTGTTTGCCCTTTTTCTTACTAGTTTGTAAGAGATTTAAATATTCTGGACCTGGGCTCTCTGCCAGCTTTCCACGGTGCAAGTTACCTACTTCCTGGCGGGTCCGTCCTTCTCTGTAGAGTGCCTTCTGATGAATATACAGTGTTAATTTTGACATCGTCAGATTATTTTAGAGGTTTTTGGCGTCGGTTTAAAATGATCTAAGCGACCTTCAAACACTCTGGTTTGTTTCCTTAACTGAATTGTAAGCTGGAAGGACTTCACAGCTGAGAGCTTGGCGGACGTTCCTTCAAGGACAGCGTCAGTGACAATACCCGTCACAGTGCAGCCTATTGGCACAAGCCTCACTTTCACCGTTAGGCGTCCCATGCCGCCTAGAAAGTTTACCTCGCTGTGGTTCTGTTTGGCTGTCCTTCAACACGCAGATCCAGGGCCTGTATGACTATCCTGTTTCCATACCTCCCACTGTGCCCCACCTGTGCACCTTGTGGTGATGTGGCACGTGCAGGTGTGGTCCATGTGGGTCCACAACCCATCTTCCCAAGGGCTGGCAGCTCCTGCAGTCAGAGCACCGGCACGCGCATCTCTGTACCTCCCCCCAACCCCCATGGTGCTTTGCATTAAAGAAGCATCTAGACAGGTGACAATAATGTGCTCTGAACGTTTAGCCCTTCAGAAGGAAAAAACAACCCACGGTTTAAAAGTCATCACGTGACTTTTTCTTTTAAAGGTTACGTTGAGTGTTGCAGTACTAATAGATAATTAATGATTACCGATACTCCACACCTAGTTTCACCCAATGACTATCATGACCGTCGCTTTCTAGACTTTACTAACGCAGCTGATTTATCTCAGTCCTTGTCTATGGCGCTGGGTGCCCTGGGAGAGGTCTGAATGGGAGGGGTGGGGAAGGGGCGGGGCCCTGCTCGTGGGACCCTGGATAATCTCCTCAGACTCCAGTGCGTGTCTGTGCTCATCGGCTCCTCAGGTGGAGATGACACCCCTGGAGAACGCGATTGAGGTTTTGGAGAACAAGAACCAGCAGCTGAAGACTCTGATCAGCCAGTGTCGGACCCGGCAGATGCAGAACATCAACCCGCTGACCATGTGCCTGAACGGGGTCATCGATGCTGCCGTCAACGGCGGAGTCTCCCGGTATCAAGAGGTGAGAGTGTAAAAAAGAGTTAAAAGAAAAAAGAGGTGAGGGTGCCCTGCCGGTGTGGCTCAGTGGTTGAACCAGGAAATCACAGTTTAATTCCCGGTCAGGGCACAGGCCTGGGTTGCAGGCTCAATCCCCATTGTGGGGCGTGCAGGGGGCAGCTGATTCATGATTCTCTTTCATCATTGATGTTTCTAGCTCTCTCTCCCTCTCTTTTCCTCTTTGAACTCAATAAAAAAAATCTAATATATAAAAGGCTAAGTGACCAATTGTATGTCCATCTGACCATCCGACCAACCATCTGTTAATGTGACGCGCACTGGCAATTTAAAAATAAACGTTGACTCGCACATGGGTGATACGTATAAAGCTCTCACTGGCGCCAATTGCACGTGTGTTTCCATCTGTCATTGTCGATCGTGAATTTGGTTGTTTTTGTTGACATTCTGAAGCTGAGAGAAGCAGCATCATCAACAGAATATATCTGAAGACCAACTATTGGCACAACGTACCTCTGAAATGCCTCAGTGTTGTGCTGCATGCTGTGCGGTCGGCTATAGTACAAACGAGTTTAAAGTACTGTAGTGTTTGGGAAAGTTTCAGACAGTTGTCTCTTAAAACAAATGTGAGATCACAGGATTCTGCTTACAGTGAATGGTTAGTAAAACTTAGAGATGGCAAACTTGATAGCAGTTTTCATTTAGGAATGGATATTATTGAAATCCCCTCTGAAATTATTTGTAATGGATCTATTATTGAAGCTACCTTTGGAAATAGTATATCTATAGATGATATTAAAAATATATCTAAATGTGCGATTCTTTGTCCCAAAACTGAGCACATTCATAAATTAAATGAAGAAATTTTGAATATACTTGATGGAGATTTTTACACCTATTTGAGTGACGATTCCATCGATTCAGCGGATGATGCTGAAAATGAAAAATTTTCCATCAAATTTCTTAATAGTATTACTCTTTCGAGAATGCCATGTCATAAATTTAAATTGAAAGTAGGTGCAATCATCATGCTACGGAGAAATCTTAATAGTAAATGGGGTCTTTGTAATGGTGCTAGATTTATTATCACAAGGTCTCGACCTAACATAATTGAAGCTGAAGTATTAACAATATCTGCAGAAGGAGAGGTTGTTCTGATTCCAAGAATTGATTTGTCCCCATCTGACACTGGCCTCCCATTTAAATTAATTCGAAGACAGTTTCCCGTGATGCCAGCATCTGTGATGACTATTAAATCACAAGGACAAACTCTAGACAGAGTAGGAATATTTCTACCTGAACCCATTTTCAGACATGGTCAGTTATATGTTGCATTCTCTCGAGTGCGAAGAATGTGTGATCTTAAAGTTGAAGTTGTAAATACTTCATCACAAGGGAAATTAGTCAAGCACTCAAAGTGTTTTTACTCTTAATGTGGTGTACAGGGAGATATTAGAATAATCAATTTATCAGTCATTGTTTTTATCAATGTTTTTATATCATGTTTTTGTTGTTTTTATATCATATTTGTGTTGTTTTTATATGTCTGTGTTGTTATGTTATTGTTTATTAATTTATATATTATTTTCATATACATTTTACTGATTTTCTTTAATCTCTGACACTTCTATTATAGAGAAAGGGTGAATAGTGATATTAAAAGATTTCTTCTAATTAATTTCCTTTCAATGTGCTAGAACCCATGCACCGGGCCACTAGTATATATATACATTTTTTTTTAAAAAAAGAAGTGAGGTTTAGGGATTGTTGTTTGAAAATTTTTAGAGGTGATTTCTCAGGGTTTCGGGAGTCTTTGTTCAAAATATGCACGCATGTCAGCCTGCTAGCACGGGCTGCTGTTGGCACGGAGGCTGTTGTTGGGCAGAGCAAGCACATCATTTGTGAGGCATGATCCCTCCATGTCCCCGTGTGATATTTTGAGGATAAAAGTGTGTGTTCTTGGACGAATAAAAGTAGTGAGGGCATGTTTAACAGATGTCTACCTAAAATCATTGCCCTGAGCAAGGAGGCTCATGGCATAGAGAAGTGCGATCTTGTCTAGGAGATGCCTTAAGTCGACTGTGTACCTGCCCTCTTAGTTCTCAACAGGAAGGCACAATCGCTTGGAAGCGGAAGCCGGCGCCTTGGTCACACTGAACCTAAGGCAACTGATTTAAGAGTGTGATGCCATAAAGCTTATTCATTTGGCTTTGCTGTTGGTTTGTTTTATCAAAAATACTTACACAATCTCTGATCTTCCTCGGATGGTCCGTTCCTTATATTTCCATCCTGACCAGCCGCCCACACTAGGCATCCCTCCACCTGCTCCCCAAGCAGGGTATACAGTGGTGTCCTGGTTCACGGCAGTGCTGTTTCTTTAAAGGGACCAGGGCATTCACAACAACAGGGCCTCTCCCTGCCTTTGTAACTCCCGAAGTACACTGATTATTCCTCCTCTCCCTAGGCATTCTTTGTCAAGGAGTATATCTTAAGTCACCCTGAAGACGGAGAGAAAATTGCCCGGTTACAAGAGCTGATGCTTGAGCAGGTAAGGAAGAAGTGTGGCTGGGCTGAGAAGGGATGTGGCCAGACCAGGGCTGCAAGGGGCAAATGACAGCTGCTACTCAACTCAAAGGAATGAAGCGCTGTTGATAGTTGAACAAAGGAAACTTGAAGGTTTATGTTCCTCTCTTTGGGGGATCCTCGTGGCAGGAAACCTTGGTTTACATTAGGAGAGGTTCCTGGATACGCTATGAGTGAACAAGAATAAACTTTAACAAAAACAAGAAGCATAGGAGTTAGCATAGAATTCCTGTGCACTTTGTACTTCCTCCTTGATGGACTTGGAAAATCTGGGGGCCAGTGGATGGGCACAGGAGAACCTGAGGGGAGAGAGAAGAGTAACGTGGAAAAGAGGGTGCCCCCCAGAAAAGAGATCCCTCAGGGAACAGCGCCCTATCCTGCCAACAGGGGGCAGCCCCGTCCCATCTGGGGAAGCGCAGGAGGAGCCAAAGGGACACGTAACTGCTTATAAGGTTATTAGAGATCTAGGACACGTGGGGTGGCAGGAACTTCGAGTCTTTGGAATCAGAGACCACAGTCTGGATCCCCATTGTGTCCTCTACTCGCAGGATGGTTCTGAGCCTCCGGGTCCCTGCCTGCACAGTAGGGACGGCTCCTGTCCTGCTGGATTGAGAGGAATGAGCGCTAATGCATGCAGACCGTGTGGGACTGTGGTTGACCCCAGGAGGCACTCCGTGGACTTACTCATCCATGCGGACTCTCTCCTTGTGTGTTTCTCCAGGCACAGATTCTGGAGTGTGGCTTGGCCGTGCATGAGAAGTTTGTACCTCAGGACATGCGACCCCTTCACAAGAAGCTGGTGGACCAGTTCTTCATGATGAAGTCGAGTCTAGGGATACAGGTAGGTCCACAGTGTCCATGCCCCAGCACTCTGACCTTCAGCTGTTCTTAGAGAGCCGAGGCGGTGGTCAATGGTGACATCTTGTGGTGCTTCTACCAAACTGCACCGTCTGACCGGGAGTCCTCAGATATTAAAACTGCATCGCCATCTTTTGGCCACGCTCAGCTTTTAGGAAAATGAAAAGTAAGCGAGAGAAAGCTTAATAAGCCTGGCTAGTGTGGCTCAGTGGTTGAGTGTCAACCTATGAACCAGGAGGTCAGGGTTCGATTCCCAGTCAGGGCACATGCTTGGGTTGTGGGCTCATTCCCCAGTGTGGGGTGTGCAGGAGGCAGCTGATCAATGATTCTCTGTCATCATTGATGTTTCTATCTCTTTTTCCTTCTCCCTTCCTCTCTGAAATCAATAAAAATATTTTTTTTTTTTTAAAAAGAAAGCTTGCCGAAACCGGTTTGGCTCAGTGGATAGAGCGTCGGCCTGCGGACTGAAGGGTCCCAGGTTCGATTCCGGTCAAGGGCATGTACCTGGGTTGCGGGCACATCCCCAGTAGGAGATGTGCCGGAGGCAGCTGATCGATGTTTCTCTCTCAACGATGTTTCTAACTCTCTATCTCTCTCCCTTCCTCTCTGTAAAAAATCAATAAAATATATTTAAAAAAAAAAAAAGAAAGAAAGCTTAATAATACTGAAACCTACCATAGTAGCCCTATGTAAAGATTTCAAGATACTCAGCACGCATATCTAATATATTGAAATATCGCATTGGTTATTTTGCCCACACGGTTCCGCTTCTGAAGGGTTTTCTGCATTACTCTTAGGAGTTCTCTGCTTGTATACAAGCCAGCCCAGTCCACTTTCCTAACGGAAGCCCTCGTGTGTGCCGGAACTCGGCGCCCGCCTCCATGAGCCCAGACGGTTCCCGGGTAATTCCCAGGCGCAGGTGAGTCATATTCTTTGTTCTCATACACTTTGGCACCCACCCCCGCATGATGATCTGGAATGGTCTGCTCCTCCTTGCACAATTTGTCAAATCCGCTACTTCTTAATGAAATCATTAACCCGCGAGGCAGCTGCAGGCATCTGCTGCTGGTGAGCCATCCACAGCATGAGGAATAAATACACGCAAACATATGACTAGATCAAGGCAAACAGGAGACACCAAAAAGGGTGGATATATTTTTTTTTAATGTTTTTGTTGATTTTAGAGAGAGGAAGACATAGAAACATCAGTGATGAGAGAGAATCATTGATCGGCTGCCTCCTGCACGCCCCGTACTGGGGATCAAGTCTGCCACCTGGGCATGTGCCCTGACCGGGATTCGAACCGGGGACCTCTCGGTTCATGGGTTGACGCTCAACTACTGAGCCACACTGGCCAGTCTAGGGTGGATATTTTCCCCTTTGGTTTAACACCAGGCCAGCGTGGGATAAAGCGCAGCTCAAAGACTGAGTTAACAACCATTTCTCCCCCACCCCCTCCGCCCCCCACCAGCCCGCTGAGTTACCCGGCTATCAACCGGTACTCCTCGTCGTCGCTGTCCTCACAGGCCTCCGCTGAAGTCAGCAACATCACCGGGCAGTCGGAGAGCTCCGACGAGGTCTTCAACATGCAGGTGCGGGACTCGCGTTCTGTCTGTTCCTGTCACGCATTTCCACCTCCGTCCCAGGCCTGCCTCCTCTGGGCAGTGCTGCTGGGCAGTGCTGCTGGGCAGAGCCTGCGACGAGACCGGGACTGGAGGGCAACCTGGGAACACTGGCCCTGGTCTCGGGTCTGCAGAGCTGGTCCAGCCCCACTCGCTGTCAGAGACAGGGACGGGCGAGGGAGAGCCCGGCGCGCCCGGTCCGCTCTGAGCCCCTCTGGTCCGGTCTCCGCATAGCCACCTCTCCGCATCTCCACATGGCTTTTTCCCCTGTAAGGATACATTGTTCACAGGTCCATTATAAAATCTCTTCCTTAGGTATGGCCGAAAATTTCTGCAATAAAGAGTCTTTTTGCCAAAGAAAAAAGACAGTTTTAGGGATTTTAGAGTTAGTGTAGCTCTGCAGCAAGAAATTTTATTAGGCACCACCTAATGTGCGTTTATAACAGCTCTGTAGACTAAGCTGAACTTTCTCTCACTGTCTTTGAAGAAGAGGCCCCATTCATATTGCCAGATACATGCTTTGAACACATTTTTGGAGAAAGTGGGAAGATGCAGTCTCTGCCTCTTAGAAGCACTCGCCTGCTTACATGGCCGGTGTCCTGCTTGTCTTAGTTAGCTGCCCTGCCAGTGGTCCCCAGTCACACAGATAGCTGGCCAGCATGAATGCCTGCCTTGGGCAGGAGTCAAAATCTCAAGTTCTTTCCTTTTAGAAAATATTTTTTAAAATTGATTTTTAGAGAAGGGAAGGGAGAGGGAGAGAGCAAAACATGAGAGTGAGAGCAAAACATTGATGCCTCCTGCACGCCCCCATCCCGGATCGAGCCACAACCTGGGCATGTGCCCTGACTGGGAATCGAACCAGCGACCTTTTAGTGCACAGGACGACACCCAGCCGAGCCACACCAGCCACGGCTCAAATTCTGGATTAATTCAGACAGGTCTTCCTATCAGTTCGAGTCAGTCAGATTTTTCTACGCGTCAAAATGGCCTTTTTCTTTGCTGTTAATTTGAAAAAAACACATCAGTGATTTTGCTTTGAACATGTCGGTGTGGCGCAGCTTCTGAGCAGCCTGTGATACAGCTTCCCTGTGTTACAGCCAAGCCCGTCTACCTCAAGCCTGAGTTCCACCCACTCCGCCTCGCCCAACGTGACCAGCTCTGCTCCATCGAGTGCCAGAGGTCAGCGCCGGGTGCGGTGGGATGACAGGGCCCCGGGAGCCGCCCAGCGCCAGGGAGCCGGGGTGTCCGTGTCCCGATCTGTGGCCGCAGCCACGGCACTCGGCTCCCAGCTGCAGACGGTGGCGCCCCCTCACTGACCGTCCTTCCTCTCTTCCAGCTTCTCCTCTCTTGTCCGACAAACACAAACATTCCCGAGAGAACGCCTGCCTGTCCCCCCGGGAGCGGCCGTGCAGCGCCATCTACCCCACACCTGTGGAGCCTTCGCAGGTAACCCTCCGGCCGGGACCCTAGAAGACAAGGAAGGGTCTGGAATGGCTCACATGTCCCCAAAGAAACACGGTGGCTTCCAGAGGCAACCCGCGTCCCGCCTGCAGGGGCCAGGGAACAGGGGTCTGCGCCTGTCGGAGGGAATTTCCGCCCAGCCTCTTCCTCAGCGGACACATGGTTGTTGCCTGAGAGTAAAGCCGAGAGGGAAGCGAGGAATGGTTCCCCTCTCTGATCTGACTCTGCATTTCTTTTTTTCTTTTTTAAATATGTTTTTATTGAGTTCAGAGAGAGGAAGGGAAAAGAAGAGAGAAAGAGAAAGAGACATTGATTTGTTGTTCCACTTACTGATACGTTGATTGGTTGATTCTTGTATGTGCCCTGACTGGGGAGCGAACCCACAACCTTGGCGTATTGGGAGGATGCTCTACCCACCTGAGCAGCCCGGCCAGGGCAGCACTTGTATCTCTAAAGAGCACCACAGCCTATCTGCTACTTACCATTTGTTTTTTCCTACATTTTATTGTGAAAAGTTACCGTTTTTATTTAAAATCTAAGCCAAACTTTTGAAACACTGTGTTTGTCAAAACCTAAGGCTCTTCCCCTTTTCCCCCTTACATATAATTAATTCTTTGTTCCTAGGGACCTCCGATATCATACAAAATATTGTTTTGAACAAAAAGTTTCCATAATGAGATCATCCTCTCATTTTCTAGAAGGTCCCCCAAGTCAGCCTGTCACCCCATAACCACAGATCCTTGTGCCTTCCAGAGGCTGCTGTTCAATCACATTGGAGACGGAGCCATGCCGCGCAGCGACCCAAACCTGTCCGCACCTGAGAAAGGTAGGCGGCAGCAGCATCAGCCCCGGACTTTGCGTGGGCCTGTCTGTCCTCATTGCTCGTCTCCTTGTGTCTGTGTGGAAGGCATGTCTCAGGCCTGGAGGATCAGGAACAAGGTGCCCTGTAGGGGATCAACAAAGACAGTCACTCACGATGCGGTCTGTGAACGCTGTCTTTCTGTCGGGTTGAACAGCAGAGCCTGAGCCAGTTAGGGACTCCTCTGGGAAGTGGCTTTTCCGTGAGTCCCCGAGGCCAGCCCTGCCTTCCTGCGACGGAGAGGCCCATGAGGCTGCGTGCTCCGCACAGGGACGCACACCTTCCCAGAGAAGTCCCCCCCGCCCCCCCATGGCCCTCACACAGCTCCTCTGCCAGCGCATGTCGTGTGTGGTGACTCAGGTACTGTTGAGGAGTTGCAGTCCAGTGCGTAATGGAGTGCCCTCTGCCTCAGGGTCACACAAAAGGAGAGGCAGACACGTGCATTGCAGCGAGCAGCCCATTAGTATCAGTCTGTGCAGTATAGTAGGGACTTCCGGGGTGCGGGGCTGGGGAACCGGGCTTCAGGG